CAAAAATGTATACACATTTTAAGTAATTGTAAACTTGGTGTTTATTATAATTAAATTATTTCAGAAACTTAAAAATATTTACAAGTATCCTTTTATTGCTTGTTTCACTACATTTTGACTATCACAACAGTGGCTAAATTGAGAGAGGCTACTGAACATTAGTGCACTCGAATGCCAGGGGAATTGTTTCATGGTGTGTGCGATTCCATTGCTTCGCGTTGTGAGCAGGGTCACGGTCAAAATGGACGTCAGTTTGAGAACATTCGGTGAAAAAAACAGTAAGATGATGCATGACATTTTTCTAAACTATGATAAACACCAATTTTAAAATTATTCAAAATGCGTATGCAATTTTTTGGGACACCCTATATAGGACCCATCACCATCCCGAACAGCAGGCGGTAGGGGTGCAAAATTTTGCTAAGGCACGAAAACAACCATTATCCTACTAAAAGTTGCTTTGGACGGCAGGGACGCGATCGCTACAGAAGGGTGTTTTACTTCCTTGATGCCTCGCACTTACTCTCAATCCGCTCATTGTGGATAATCACAGGAAGCAGATGCACAGGTCCCCTTGTGTTCGTAGCCTGGGCTGACGTAGCAACCACGCACCCACTGAAATTATTAGTTGCTCATTTTACTTTCTTTGGAAGTCAATGTGCGAATTGGAAGTAAATCGCCCAGAAGAAAACGATTTTCAAGTTCGGTTTAAATCTTTAGAGTAATAGTTGAGCTGGAATCCAAAAAGAGTTCGGCAAAGGTAGTTTAGACGGTGCATCTCATGTACCCTTAGTCCCAGCATTTTGTCCTACGGAAACGCTGATTACAGGGTTGTTTGGAGTAGGGAAATAGGATAGGTGGTGAAGGAAATTTGTAGAAGTAAGTGTAAAGCGGTAAATGTGGTTGAATTTGTTTCCCACAGCCGCTGGGAGTAAGTTGTTCCGCATGTAAATTGAAGGTTGTTCGACGCTTCACGCCGCGGACTATAATAACCTAACTCCAGAACGATAAGTTAGACCTCAGGTAAGTTGAAGTAAACGACCTCCTAATCACCCTTTCTATTTTTTCAGGAATTTAAAGAAACCTGCATTTTTCTAATCGGGTTTTTCCGCAATACGCTAGACGATAATATGGATTAGGAAAATCTACAGATGTACATTAACAACGTTTATAACTACAATAAAATAAAAATACATATATCAGTTATCAAGGTATATTCTACTTGCTATCCTAATTTCCCCCCCCATAAAACCTCTACAACCATCGTTTCCATAGGACAAAATGCTGGGGCTAGGAGTATAGGGGGTGCACTACTTAAACTACCGTTGCCAAGAATTTTTATGGAATAACCCTTGGATATTCGATAGCTGTCACAGGCAGTCAGTTGTATACCAATACTTGTTGATTCGCCATACTGTGAGCATAGATATTCGGTGAAATATCTGGCACGCGTGCTTCACCGATGTTGTGCCGTTGCATGACGCGTTTGCAAATGATTTAGCTCATCAGTGCCTATCCCAATGTTCCTTATGTGCATTAAACTCCAGTTTCAATTTTGCCGATTATACTTGCATCGAAAATCTGTATGCCATCTTGGAGTGCATCCTTCGGTATACAGCTGTAAGGACCTAGTTAGTACTTGCGTCCTCAGTTTAGTAAATATTTCACTATTAGCACACAGCTGTCTGTGCGTTAGTAGCTCGTGGATATAACATCAGTTTTCCACAATAGCTGATGGATTTCAGCTCAGATATTCACGCCAACTTTTCTTTTTCTTACTTCATGTTCGATAAATGGTTCAAGTTCGCTGTCGCGGCCGAGCATTTTGCCTTCAGCACTAACTTGTTAGTTATTTTGAGTCTAATGAAAAACGTAAGGAAATTTTTGTTGTCATGACAAAAGGTAGATCCACCTGCAGATGGGTGGTTTTGGGATTACTGTTTTCTTTTAAACCGCGTACCAAAGACTCTTTTGTGCTCTAATCGATATCTGATAGTTTAAGGACTTCATTTGCTTTAAAAATCACACGAACGCCCATAAGTAGTGAAGTTGGAGGCTGCAAGTTGGACAGCGGTGTCTGTGTTCATTGAGCTGCTCCAAACAAACACTGAGAATTTATTTGCTTTAGTTTCTACGTTGTATAGAAATAACAATCAGTCCCTTAACATAACTTGTTTCTCCTCCATGCGCTTCTCAGCTGCGTGTTTTCAGATATTACTAAGAATATACAAATCCAATCTTCAGGCTATTTGGTGCGATTTTGAATGTGCCTTTCAAAAATAAATATCTCTACTGAACTTTTACAAAAAAAGCCTTTATTGAAGAATTAGAAGATAAAAAGCACAATTGTCTTCATAGGAGACATTGGAAAGTAAAGTTTCCGTTGCTCAACAACTTCGATTACCGGAAATCAACACTTCGTCCTCATCATCATCATTTTCCTCCTCTCCCTCCTCTACCTCATCTTCCTCGTCCTCCTCGTCGAAATCCTCTTCGTCGGTGGGTTCTAGCTTTTCAGGATCCGTAAAGAAAGCCCTACCAGTGCTGTCGATAAGCGCACTTTTGAGTCTTAAGTCGTAGAAAAGTGGTGATGACCGCATTGGAACCGCTGTAGATGCAGCAGTAGCCTGCGTCGGATTTGCAAGGGGCAAAGGGGAGCTGTGGGGTTGCTGAGGAGCGCGATTAAAGTCACGGAAATGCGTACTGGCTGCATCCATCTGGAAATCGCACTCAGGCTTTGTATAGTCACCGTGAAAGCTATGATTTTCTTCCTCACCCGATGACTGGGACCTCTTTACCATTCGTGCACTATTTTCACTGGAATCAACCTTATGGACAAAGTCCAGTGATGTCCATGGTGCGCAGTCGCGATGCTGACTGGACCCTGAAAATTGAACCAATGATGCAGATTCAACAGGGCCTAGCGAAAAGCGAGTAAAGTCCCCCGGCTTGAGGCAGGCTTCGCCCTGCGGCATACTATAGCCACTGGGGGAGATAGAAAAGTGGTCCGGATCCATCTTCGAGCCTGGCAGGTAGGCGCTAGAGGAACTCAATAGTCCATTAGTTGTAGAAGTCGGAAGGCCGCAGAAACTCGGACGCGGTTGGTGTACAGTATCAGTAATAGGAAGTAGGGGTTTCATAAAGTCTTCCGACTTCTCACCTGCTTTTCCAAAAAAAGTAGACGCGCTTATGGTGCCTTCCGCAGAG